GACCTGAAAAAAAAAAAAAAAGCATCCCTTTCTCTTAGCCTTCAAGGAAATCCCTCATATACTCCAGAGCATCTGGCATCAAAGGCCTTGGAAGAGATAGAAAACTGGCAGAACAAATGGATTGACCACTCCCTTCACAGCTGCTGTAGCACAAGTTAATATTGACTGTATTCTCCCTACCTTCCATTTTCAGCCTAAATGTAAATAAGTGAGTAGAACTTCCAAGTATTAAAACTGACTAGTTCTGAAAACATACAAAACCTAAGCAGACTCTATTTAAAGTGTAACACGTGAGGTATAAAACACCATTATCTTCATTAGTTTTTATGGAAGCAGACATCGCAGATGCAAGAACATAACCATTCATCTACATGAGACAGAGAGAGAAGTGCTGCTTGAAGATGGGCATAAAACTCTGATCTCCATATTATCCAGTCACATGAAAGTTTAAGGGAAAAAAATCAAGTAATTTTAAGACAGTTTATTATTTTGTGAAGAGGATTATTGATGATGGTTCTCCACAAAACCCTATCTGCTGATACCACAATCTGTCCATGAAAGAGTTATTTTCATTAGTATATTAATTTCAAGCACTCAAAGTTCAAGGCAAGCACTGAATTTCCATAAAACCTGGGAGATTTAAACAATTCAAATACTTTTCTGTTTTGCCTCAGATGTTGATAAAGATCCCATACGTATGAGCTGTGTATTTATTCGGTTTTGAGGATGTGGCTGTAAATTCCTAGTCAGGAAATGGATTTATGAAATCTCTATCACATTGAAGGGGAGTCTTTCCAAGATGAAGCCTGCTTTTCAGAAAAACACTTCATTAAAATCAGTGTGCTGCTCCATCACAGATGAAAACATCCCGTTGGAAAAGACAGCATTTTAGCCCTCAACACACAATCTACAGGAAAAAACAAACCTGTTCTGCAATATCTGCATTGTACTCTCAGACAAAGGCACCATCTTCAACCAAAAGAAGACCTGGCATAAAATATTACCATTCAATAAAAAATCATTATTTGGTCCCTTAAGTAGCCCCTGAAGTAGAAGGCTGTGGTGAAAATTTATCAGGCATTTTCCTCCAAATGGAATATACGCTTCAGTACTCTAAAAGGTCTATAGTACATGAAATTTTAACGGAATTGTTAATGTCTTTCTAGGTTTTATAATACCACAAAGAGATACTCATCATGTGCTTTCACCACAGCAGAAAAATGCTAATGCCCGTAGTACACAAAACTTTCACAGTGGTTTTGAATATAAACCATCTTCTACTCTCTGGGTGGGCAAATTAATGGGATCAATAAATTTTGTAGTATCTCCAGATAACACTCTTTACTTTCACAAAGTAAATTCAGGATGTACAGAAGGGACCACAAACAACCTCTTATGTGGATTCCCTGAAAGATTAGTCTGCTTTGAGAAATGTGAAATGTCAAAGGCCTGGGAATTTTCATATGTGAACCCACGCCTTGATGTGGGAAAGGTTTGCGGAAGATCCTAAAGGTCAGAAGTGAGGGTCTCCCTTATCAACAAGGTCATGTGTTAAGTTAAACTGAAACTAAGTGAAACGTACTACCTGGAACCACAAGCACCACTCTGATTACAGTAAATATATTTTTTAAAGGGCAAGACATTTTAAAAGTGATGTTTAAAAGTGTATTTATCAGAATAAAGAAATATGTACATTAAAGAAGCTGCTCTCAGGTAATTTCCATAAATATTTCCAGTGTCATGAAAGTTAAAGCTAATTTTAAAAAAATTCTAGTCGTAACTATTCATCTATAGTTCCCTCTGATTGGAAACAATAATGATTTCACTAGAGATTAAAAAAACCACATAGCTTTTTTTCTGCCTATTTTAAACTGGTAAACTATGTATTTACTTTTCTTACAGTAAGAAAATGTTGCTAATTTTATCTTGTGAAGTTTTGCTTTACTTAGAAAGAAATGATGATTCAGAGCCTACTAATCTTTCAGGAGAGATATGTGAGAAAATTACTATTATCTCTCTTTACAAAGGGAACGTGCAGGCATTAAAATAAATCCTTATATTTGAGCTAAACAAACCTTGAGGAGGGACTTGGACAAGCTTGAGAACAGAAAAGGAAATTCCACTAGAATTACTTCAGACTTGTTAGGTTTTTGGTTTTGTTTTCATTTTAGGAGGAGGTTTTTGCCCATGTACAATTTTCCTGCAACCTACTCCTACCTCCGTTATCTGGCAGTTTTGAGTTCCTTAATCTGCAAACCAGCTAAATCTACTATTTCTAATTCCTTCCTGTCAGCTGTAGCACACTATGATGTGCCTCCCGGAAACACACGCTCTGACCGTTTGTCTATAGAAGTTACTTAAGCAAATTGCCTTCCTTTTGTATAATATGCTGAAGTTAATGGCAGCTGAGACTGTTCACTTATGGGAGAGCACCCTGAAGGAACATTATAAATACAGCTTAAGTTGAGTGTGTGCAAGGTGTGGTCCTGCATTCATTGTGCTCAGTGAAGGATTTGTGGGCTCCTGGGAGGAGGTCTGTACAGTAACGGTGCCTCGCCACCAATGCTGACACCTTGGGAGTAGGTAGGAAGGAGTCTTCCACTACACAAGACCATTCCAGTTTGACCAGTGCTCCTCCAGTGACTGAATGGCAATTTCCCAGTAGGTGGATCTACACTGTCCTGACTAACCTAAATTAAGTAAAGGAAAGCTGAGCTTATTCAGGGTGCTCTTCCCAAATGCAACAGCAATGAACATTCATTAAAACAAGCAAACCCCCCAAACTTTCCTTGGAACAATGTTACCATTCCCATTTTCCCATGTAAAGGACACCAATAAGATTATAAATATTGGCAGAAAGCAAAGCACTTCCACAGCACACAACACAGACCTCAGCACTGTCGATTAGCTTCTGGGCAGGGACTGAGTTGCTTTGTTTTGGTGGCTTTTTGTCTCCTTCTGAAGCTAAACCCTTCCAAGAGACTTCAACAGGCACAGTTTAGGAGATAAACTCAAAGTAACGAAGGAGTATTTGCCACCTGGTTTCCCCACAGAGAGCTCCTTCCTCCCTCTTCACAGACACATGAATGAAGGTCACTGTCCTGCTTTTTTTGTGATTTTATCATAAAGCTAAATATAATGAATGTAATATCTCCTTTTTAAAAAAAGCAAGGTTGGACAAATGGTCATGGAAATTAGCACATGTTCTACCTAAAGGCAGGTTTCAGCATTAGTATGCAAACCAAGAAGTGTCTTATGCTTTGGATACACCTAAGGTAATCAGCCCAAGAATCTGAAAATCAAAGGATTTCTCAAGGTGAGTAAAAGCATCTGCTCTTCAGAAACTTCAAGTTCTAACCTACAGTTCTGTGCAATTCTGGAGGTCAGATCCTGCTTCTCCAATGCGAGCTGAGATGGACCCAGGTTCCTTTCTTGAAGATCAACGCAATTGCCCAGGGAACTAGACACTTTCTCCATTAACTCAGGAAAATATTTTTGTTTTGCAAGAAACACCTACCAACAGAAGTTAATTTGCTGGTTTATTTTGCAAACATTGTGTTTTAACAAAAATGTAAGCCTGATATTGGAAAGTAATGATTTTTGTCCTGCTAAATGTTGAGCCATATATAGATTAGTTTTATAAGGCTTCCATCATGACAAAAGGCCCTTTTTATTAATGGCTACTTTATCATTTAAAACATGTATGTTTAGTTACTTAAAATGGCAAATTGCTTTGCACTGTCCTTGAAGTGCATTGCATAAATATTGTATTAAAGCCTTAGCTTACACTTCATAAATAATTTATTTTAAAAATACTCTTCCATGAGACCACCAGCAGCTGAGATGTTCAATTTTCTGGTAAAAACACGTATTTATTGCAAGTCTTATTTTAACTTGTTGACGATTTGCTAAAAGCCACATGTGATAGATGCTGTAAGGACTGTATTCAAAGTAAAACCTCAGGAAGCTAAAAGCCTAATGCTCCTAGTAGGTTTTATACCTTTGCATAAGCAGTTTCAGTTGGAGGTGGAAAAGCTGAAATCTATTCAAGGAAGCTTTCAAGTACCATTTTCTGATAACTTGAAAATGACTGATAGTATATTTTGTGATGATCAGAAAATTTTATAGATTTCATTACATTTCATTTCACTACAGCCCTCCCTATGCCACTTCCATTTCATGTTGCTGCATTTAAACTGCTGTACAAACTTGTTCAAAGTGCTAGACATTAAAAAAAAAAAATCAAAGGAAATTTCAGATAATTAACTTTGATGAACGAGCATATTTTAATTCATGTCTGGTAATATTCTTGTTAATGACATGTCTGCTTAGGACATCCATTAAAAGTCCATTAACTTAACAGGGAAAGTCTAATAAAGTTATCCTGGAAATTTTCTGGTATATTAACATTATGGACTTTTAATGAATATCTGCTGTAGGAATTGCTATTAGCAAGGCTACTGTTCTAATTAAAGTTATGGCTCTAAGAGAGTGAAAAAAGCAGTATGAAGATAATAACAAGCAGAAGTAGCACTTCTTTTTGAAAATTAAAGAAGATTGGTACAAGTTGCAAAACATGCTATCAGTAAGAGTTATAAATTATTAGGTTGTGACCAGCCATCCAATATACCCCCTATCAGGTGCTTCTTTCATGTAATCAATTGCTGAGGCTCCCAATTACTGCTCTATTGTTGAGGCTCAGCAGTACAAAAGGCCAGTGAGAGGCCCTTCAGAAGGGTAGAAGGGATAAAACTGAAACACAGTTTTTGATAACAATGCCACGTAAAAGGTCTAGTTAGGAAAGGCATCCAGCCTTGTTACCAACCCATCTGAAGCTTCATCAAGTCCTGCTACATTTCTGCTGACATTCACAACAATACAGCAAAAGATCTTTCTATATGTATATATCTTTTATATATATGTATAAATCTTTTATATATATGTATGTAACTTTTTAATGTATATGTGTAGGTATAAAATAAAAGAATCTCCAGATTTACCTATTTTTTCATACTTATCCTTGACCAGATCTTCCAAACCGATCATTTTCCAGAAACTGTCATCCCAACCTCCATCCGCAGTGTATGTCCACTTGCACACTACTGTACAGAGGGACCTAAAAAAGAGACAATACAGACAAGGAATCAGGCAAATGAACATATTGGATTTTAAACTTGTGACTATAAAGACATATGTGCCAAATGATCCCTGCTCTGGCATGGGGGTTGGACTAGATGATCTCCAGAGGTCCCTTCCAACCTCATATCATTCTGTGATCATTCTGTGATCTCTTCATTCACTGGTCTAAAATTCCAAGCATAACGCTAACATTAGGAAAAAAAAATTATTACTGTTTGGAGTGCAAGCCTTGAGATACCTTAAAAGGACCTTTTGTTTAAGATTCTTCTCTGCTGAAACAACTCCTGGTCAGGCCACTTCACTGTATAAATCAGTCAAAAAACAGGTCATACATATGCCTATAAGACAGCACAGCATGAACATAACAGCTCTTTAACAAGCAGCTCAGAGAAAGACTCCTGCTTTTCTGAGCTGAACCTAAATAGAAATGTCTCAAACAGTATGGCCTTAGAAAAACTTTCTATTACTTATGTTCAAGCTGAATTATAATATACAAGAGATTACGTATGCACTGATAATTAGGTTAAATGGCACTGCTTCAGTACCTGCAGGTACAAAATGTCTTTATCAGGTGAATGTGTACAAGCAAAAGTGCATCCAACTACCAGAGCTTCTGCATAGCATGTCTGCAAGTACCACTGTCATTAGGTCTGTATTTCAGCAGAAGCTGATGACAATTTAGTGACACACTGAAACAGTGTTAGCCGTGACGCAGCTGAGGGCAGTATTAAGTTCTTGTTTGAAGTCTCATTCCTGCTAAGCTGATGCTGAACTTCACTGTGACCGTACAGCAACACAAGGGCAGACTGCAGGAGCAGAATATTAGCAAAAGACAAGAGAACTTGCAGAAATGTCTATCATAGCAAATAGAATGTTTTTCTCCTAAAATGATCCATATCCACAACCTCTCATCACCCGCAAAATACGAACAACGCTCCTGAAGGTTTAGATTTACACAGACTGTTTTCTGTCTGAGCACTAAGAACCATCTTAGATCAATATTTAACTGTGCTTGAAAAGTCAATAAACTAAAAGGTATTAAAAATGCTAAATACTACTATAAATCTCAGCTGCCTGTAGTCTTGCGAACGCTACCGTACCATCGAGTGCAAGACATCTCAGATGCATCTCAGGAAAGCACCACATCATAACTGTTCTCAAAGAGAAACCCCTTTCAGAGATGGATTTTCTTTGATATCTTACAAGACAGCTTATTTGTGACTCATTTTTAGCCAAGGTGTGCTTTCACAGATATATTCTTTTTATTAGATTCCTAATTTGAACACGTATCTTCAAAGCAAACTGAATTTCACTGAAGCATTTGACTTTTTCTTGCAGTTTTGCATATGGAAAATCCAAACAAAATTCCTGCCTACAAAAAATATTTTTGGAGTTCAAGTAAACCCTCCTTTTCATCCAAGTGAGCTACCTAGGGACCTAAATAAGGAGAATTAAATTAAAAGTCATCTTATTGCATTACATATTTTTACTTACTTTACCATAATGCCTAGGAAAACCAGATCTGGACAATGACCCCGGCGTCTACAGCAAGGTACAATTTCTGACCAAAGAAGGAGACTGCTGCCTTTAGGAAACTTAAAAATAAGACAGCAACGTGAACTGTCAGCCAGATACAGTGAGGTGTCCCAAAGAATGTCACATGTATCAGCACCTACAACCTGCACCTGTAAAACACACTCAAACCCAGCCAGAGACTCAAAATACCAAGTATTCAGCCAAAGGGAGAGACAAAACTTCACATAAAATCCTTTCTGCTAGTACAGATCCCACTTCAGTTTTCCTACCTAGGCAAAGGGGAGCTTCTTATTGTACAGTTGTAGCAAGAAGCACACAGTAAATAATAAAGGCTCTGGTCTTCTTGGAAGAGGCCACCAAAGAAATAGATTCTGCTACTTTCAAGCTTGACAAGCATCCTTGTCATAGTTTCCCAATCATTGATACAGAAATATCCAACAAAGAAAGCAACAGTGAGCGCCTCTCCTCCATTAAAACACAGTAACAAAATCCAGCAAAGAAATCAGCAAATAGAACAAAAAAAAAAAAAGAGAAATAATTTTTATTTACTATCAACAAATCAAAGCAAAGGCTTCTAGACAGTGATACTGTACACCCAATAAAGTCAAATAAGAACAGGAAGATCCTTTCCACACAGCTGGAAAACTGTCTGGAACTTGTATGCACCATGCTTGGGGGTTTACAATGAGAACCAAGGATGTACAAAGTGAGGGCAGGATTCTCAGTGTACGTTCTCTTATGTCACACCAAGCAGAAGATCAGATGATTATATGGAGGACTCCCCTTACTCGCATCTTCTCATCCAGGACAGAAATGTATATTTTAAATGCATCATGTTTCACTTCGTTCTGTTCTTCTGGAGTGACCATGTTTTCACACCCAGAGGACTGACAATGCTCATTTCAATCCCACTGTTTAGAAAGGTGCATTTTTTGCTTTTTGCAATGAAAGAATTTATTAACATTACACTTTTCTGGGAAAAAAGAAATAGAGATAACTACTTATATCCTTATAAATGCTGTGGAGATTATTTCAGGGTTACTCTTCAAACCTTTTTCACACACACACACACCCCTTTTTTTTTTCTCCCTTAAACAGTTTAAGAATTAATCAGACAATTACAATTCAATGTCTGGTTTGAAAACAGAAAAGCACATGACCTGTAACTACAGCAATGACAATGTTGATATAAGAAATTCCAATTTCCAAGTATTTAAAAGCCAGACACAGAAATCTAATTAGGACCTTTGACAAAAACTGGGTGAACAAATAAATTCTAGGCTAAAGAAAATACTGGGAAAGAATAAACATTTTCCCCAAATCACCTCAAACCTCTCATTAAAAGGAAAAATAAAGACAGGATATTTGAAATAAAGATCACTTCATCACTTTAGGAAAAATTTAGACATAAGGAGCGAAACAATAATACATCAAGTTTTCCCAAATATAGTAAATACCAAATCATAACAAATTATCATCGCAGCTGAATATGTATTTTTCTAATTAGATCAATGGTATTAGATCAAAACTATTGCCACATCCTGAAAAATGCACCAAGGATGGCAGCTCGATGTCGTGGCTCCTCACTTTCAAAGATCCCAAAACAAGTCCCTCTGGGTCTCCACACTTATCCAAAGAGAAAGTGGAGAAGCTTTGCTGGACTCCAAAGAGCATGTTTTAACCAGAGGCCAACTCTCCCTACAGCTCACAGGCCCACTGAAACCATGTGTATGGGAACACACCAGCCCTTGCCAATCCACCAAATTCCAGCGTAGCGGAGCTCTCTTACTGGATATTGCTGGGCTGAACATACTCTAGTATGAAACAGCAATGGGGCTGTGAGCATTTTCATCCTACTCGTGGAGATCTATAAATGCAATAAATAAGAAGGATAAATAGATGACTCCTGGTTGAATTTTTAATACAATAATATAAAACATGAACTGGGAAGGACACCTCTTCCCAAATTAATTAACTGGCAGATCTGTAAGTGGAAGGTTCAGATACGAAGACCAACCTCAAATCTGCACAACAATATTATCCCATTATCATAGAATCATAGAATAGTTTGGGTTGAAAGGGACCTATAAAAGTCATCTAGTCCAACCTCTTCTGCAATGAGCAGGGACATCTTCAACTAGATCAGGTTGCTCAGAGCCCCGTCCAACTGGACCTTCAATGTTTCCAGGGATGGGGCATCTACCACCTCCCTGGGCAACCTGGGCCAGTGTTTTGCCACCCTTACTGTAAAAAATTTGTTCCTGTAGCCCAGGCTGCCTACAATCTTGACATCACCAGATTGGTGACCATCAGGTCCACTATCGCATCCCTTCTTGCCGGGGGTGTCTACTACGTGGCTTAAGAAGTTCTCTTTAATGCACTCCAGGAGTTTGCTGGATTGCCTACAGCTTGCCGTGATACTTCTCCAGCAGGTGTCAGGGTGGTTGAAGTCCCCCAGCAGGACAAGAGCCTTTGAGTGTGATGCCTCCTGTTGCCAGAGTAAGAAGTCTTCATCAATAGGCTCCCCTTGATTGGGTGGCCTGTAATAGACACCAACCACAAGGTTGCCTTGGTCTCTTATTCTTACCCGCAGGCTTTCAACCTGCTCCTGGCTATTCTTCAGAGATGTTGGTAGGTTTTTATTTTCATGGCCACAACCACCTCAAAATACTTGTAAACGCAGTCCAAACATTTAGAGTTCTCTGGGGTATAAGCTCCTTATTCCACCCTTGCCACTACTCAATTGCCACATAAAAAGTACACGTTTAATTGAACAATATAGCTTTATAGAAATCCTTATACAAATCCAATAATATCTAAGAGAAAGGCACTGTGGTCTCTTAGATAATAGTTGAAGTAAAGAAGGATTTCTTTAAGATGCCCACAACAACAGATTAACTTCACTACACACTTCAAATGAACCTGGATGTGTTGAACTCAAATCCCTGCCGTGATGAGGTGCTCTAATAATTACACACAGCTGCACAATTTGTATATCCTGGAGAGCTGTAGGCACACATAGAGAGAGCAGTTTGTCAATAGTTTTTCACCTTTGAATACCCATGGCATAGATATATATTAGCTTTATGGGCAATCACTCAGAAATTCTCCTCCAGAGTATCACCCTGAGAAAGTGATAGCATGACTCCCAGCTTGGAAAAACTGTATCCAGGAAGACATAATGGCAAAGAGGAAGCCGAGGAATCAAATCATCACACCTCAAAGAAAGCTTCAACTATTGGAAAATTTTGTATTTCACAGCAACTTCTAAATTTTATGAGATGAAGGGCAGACATTAAACAGAAACAGAACTGATATTCACTGTGGTATATTCCTTTTTTCAGAACTATTTGGCAGTATTGCCTCAATTATTTGGCCACAACACCAGACTTGCGCTAGCTGAAGCTGGATGAACCAGATGAATAGAAGCAAATGTTACCC